TGATATTAGTTTTGAACCAAATCGTAGCTTTCTAACAAAACATCAGCTGAAAAAGGTGTGAAAATGCAGAAAACTGCATCCAGAAAGCAAATAGCCTAGATATGTCTCAGACAGGGTTATCAATTGTTTTGAAATGTGGGAAGGGCAAAGAATTCGTCAGAAAGTAGTGAAATTTTGGCAGAAAGTACCTGATTTTACCTGCTGCTAGCAACCGAACAAATAATGCTAATTTCGTCGACTTTCTGCGAGATTTTCTTGAAAAAAAGTGTTTTTATTCAATTTTCTGCCAGAAAAATGGCAAAAAAGTGCTTAAAAACTAGCTTTCTGCCAGAATTTACAATGAGACTTTCCAAAATTTGCGCATATTTTCAATTTTGGGGGGAAATCCCTCTCTAATCGGCAACCCTGGTCTCAGATGATAAAAAACAAAGTGAATATACCCGTTCACTTTTTGAAGTACACATAACACTCGGATTTAAATCCGAGGTTTTCGCATTTATTTTATACTAATTATGGTCGATTTAAACTATTAACTTTTCAAAATAAGACGAGTTCGTATCAACACTATTCTTAGATTGTTTTTCATAATAGAAGAAATTATTTTATTAATTATACATACAATAGGACTAAAGTTTTCATTGATTGGATAATATTCTTGTTGTCTTGGATTAAATGTTCGAATCAATGCTTTAATCTAAAATTACAACAAACAAAACAATAATAAAATAAATAAAATTTTCTTTGAAAACATTTTTTTTTACATTTGTATAAATAAATGTTGCTTCTATTTCAATAGAACCTTTAACTGGTGACATACATTTTTCATCTTTTAATGCCATCCATTGCTTTTTGCCATTTTTTATCTTAGAAAATGGAAAGACTTCATAAATCAAAAAAAGGGAATAAATTTTTTATTACATTTAATAATGGTATGGCAACTTTTCCAATAAATTCACTATTTCCATTTTTATCTTCATCATAAATTACTAAGTGAAGTACAGAATGAATATCTTGTACAGGTAAAACATATGATTTATTCCAAACAGGATCAAGTGTTTGATAAATTGTATGCGTACGTAAACGACTTGAATCAAGTTCAACAATACAAAATGGATCTGATTTACCACCTAAATCTTTGGAACTGAGGTCACGTGCTTGATAAACTAATTTTTTTTGTTTTGTATTTTATAAAGAAAATGTTTAGAAGAATATAAATAATCAAAAAAATTAATGCTTACTTTTGATTTCAAGTTTGCCAATATCAAAGATTGGATTTATTGATCGAATTGTAGAAAACAAACTCTATAAAATAAATAATATAAATTATATATATATTTTTTTAATTACGA